CACTTGTGACTCAATGCTTTTATGTTCTATTCCTGTTATTGTTATTATTATTTTACCATCAGGCTATTTATATCTTAGTGTGGGATGACCTAGGAAAATATTTCCCTAAGGTTTTTGGTATTGCAATTAGCATCAAAGTGTTTGAGTGAAGTTTCATTGCTAGAATTCCCCAAACAACCAAGAAGTTCTATTCAGATTTTTCTAACCAGAAACAAGCATGTTTAATGTTTCCCCATGTCCATATATCAAGACATTTTCAGTTTCAGGCTGGACTAGTACACAAAAGGACTTAAAAGCCACAAATGAAAATCTGCCACCCTTTATGGCACTAGAGTTTTCAGATAAAATTTCTATAAAATGGTAGCTTTTATCTTAATGAATGTTAGACTGTTCTAATCATTTGGAGTCACATCACTATTTATCCTGTGCTAACATAAGATTCAATTCAGATACATTTTTTTTTTCAGGGTAGACCAGAAATTGTTAGCAGTGGTTTCAACCTTTGAGGGGAAGGAGATTATTTCTTTCTTTTTGTACTAAACATATACATGTATTACTTTTTAAAAAGTTTAAAAATATGCAATACTCATATAAAGAAGTGAAAAATGCTTTGGGAGGCCAAGGTGGGTGGATCACTTGAGGCCAGGAGTTTGAGACCAGCCTGGCCAACATGGTGAAACCCTGTCTTTACTTAAAAAAAAAAAATATATATATATATATATATATGTAAATTAGCTGGGCATGGTGGTGCATGCCTGTAATCCCAGCTACTCGGGAGGCTTGAGGCATGAGAATCTCTTGAACCTGGGAGATGGAGGTTGCAGTGGGCCAGGATTGCGCCCCTGCACTCTACCAAGCTACCGAGTGAGACTGTCTCCAAAAAAAATCCCAAAAAAACCAAAAAACCAAAAACACAAAACAAAACCAAAAGGAAGCCGAAAATGAGAATTGTAAATTCATCTTCAGGAGATTAAAGAATACATTGCGATGAGAGATCTTCCAGCCAGCCTGTATCTACCAGTTCAGACTAGTCTGAGAATTAAGAATTAGAGCAGCTGGGCCACCACCAAGGATCCAATTTTCTGAGTAATCAGCTTGGGAAGCAAGTAAAAATGAAGGGGTGCTCATGGTGAAAGTGATGAGGAAAATCAGCACTTTCGCATTCAAAAGAATATATGTCAGCTATTTCAAAAGTTAAAATCACAACTAACAAGAATATCCTTAATAATTTATTCCCTCAATAAATCACTTTGTTCTTGTGAAAAGAAATGCTGCAATGCATTTTCTTTTCAAATCTATGTCTCTATTTCCTTTTGGATGAATATTTTAACTCTGTTTGCTCTTACTGCCCTAGTTTTCTAAATGCACATTTGGATCATTGTTCAATGGCAAAAGTCATATTACAAAGCGTTCCAAGTCTGTGGTCAGGCTAAGCACCACAATTCCTGGGAACTGGAGTTGCCCTTTAATCCCTCAAACTAGGGAGGAAAGGCAGTGCTTACCCTGACATGAGAAAATGCCAAAGCTATGATGTAGAAATAATATTCAGGCACTTACTGAAGGCTTTATCAAATGGATAATTTGTAAAAGCTATATACATGTATTAATGTTAGTTGAGTTTACCTCTGTACCAGGCCCTGTGCTAAGTGCTTGTTATTAGTCAGGGTTCTCCAGAAAAACAGAACCAGGAGGATATGCATTTATCTATTTACCTAAATATCTATGTGTTAGGTATATAGATATGTAGGGATTAATTATGAGGAATTGGCTCAAGAGATTATGGAAGCTGAGGAATCCCATTACTTGCTGTCAGCAAGATGGAGCCCAAAGAAAGCCAGTGGTGTAGTTCCAATCCAAGTTGAAAGGCCTGGAAAATAGGGAAGCCAATGTGTAACTGCGATCTGAGACTGAAGGTCTGAGAATCAGTAGCCCTGATGTCCAAGAGCAGGAGAAGATGGATGCACCAGCTGAAGAAGACAGAATGAATTCACCCCTCAACCAGCTTACCAGCTATATGGGCATCCCTTACCCCCGACAAGTTGACACATAACATTAGCCATCAGATGCTTTGGCTGCATTATTTCCTTTCATCTTTACAAGCAATGTGATGAGAGGTTTTAATTTTCCTTATTTTACAGATGAGTTGAGAATCCCAGAGGAATAGTAACTTGTTTTAAGGTCACATGATTAGCAAATGACCAAGCTCCAGGGTCTTAAGTTACATAAAGACCCAAGCAAAAAACATTTTAATTTCTACCACAGTTAACAATGCCCTTCCGCTTCTTCCTACGTCCCTTCTCTATCATTCCTGTATTCTCTCAAAGCAAACTCCTTACTGTTTCTACATCTTTATTTTTTAAAGGACAAAGCTCTTCAATTTGTCTTGTCCTTTCTCACATATTTTCTCACTATCTTTTAGCTCTATATTCTGGGAGTTTAAAAATTGTGTTCACTAATTATATTTGATAATATTTCTGCTGAGTTATTAAAATGTAACTAACCAAACTTAATTTTTCAGATGTATGGCAGACAGACTCTAGGTTGATCATCCCATGATACTGCCTCCTGGTGTTCACGCCCCTAAGTGTGGGCAGGACCTATTATTTGCTTCAAAACAGCACATGGGAAGCCACTTCTATGATTATATTATGTTATGTAATATTCCATCTTGCTGGTTGACTTGCTCTACAAAGTTTCCTTACTGGCTTAATGAAGTAAGTGGTCATGTTGCAGAAGCTCTCTTTGGAAGGAACTGTGGAGAGGCTTAGTAACAATGAACAACCTCTAGCTAATGAAAATAGGCTCTAGTAAATGGAAGGTAGCCTTAGTCAACTCAGCAAAAAGTCAGAGCTCTCAGTCCTACAAACAAAAGGAAATTAATTCTGCAACAACCTTAGTAAACCCAAAAGTATACTCTCCCCCAATTTATTTATTTAGGCCTAGTCTCACTCTGTCACCCAGGCTGGAGTGCAGTGGTACGATCTCAGCTCACTGGAACCTCTGCCTCTGGGGTTCAAGCAATTCTCCTGCCTCAGCCTCCCAAGTAGCTGGGATTACAGGTGCATGCCACCATGTCCAGCTAAATTTTTGTATTTTTAGTAGAGACGAGGTTTCACCATGTTGGCTAGGCTGATCTCAAACTCATAACCTCAAGTGATCCTCCTGCCTTGGCCTCCCCAATTTAGACTCCTGATGAATATGTGGCCCAGTCAACACTTTAATCACAACCTTGTAAAACCCTATAACAGAAGGGGTAGTTGAGCTGTGGCCAGACTCCAAATGTGCAGAAACCATTAATCAAAAAATGGGTATTGTTATAAGCTGCTAAGTTCATAGTAATTTGTTATGCAATGATGGATAGCTAATACAAGAAGGTTTTGACCTTTTTTCATAGTATCCTATTCATGTTTTGTGACTCACCTTTTAAAAGCATATATATTTCAGTATTTCTTAAAATTTTTCTTCTTTTTCCTGAATTAACTCTATTTCCTCCAGTGTCAGCTTTTTTATTTATGTTATTTATTTTCTTTACTGATGTTGGTTCAATACCTGGTAACGTTTGCTTATGCACTTGTTTTACATCAGAAAGACTGCATGTATTTGAGTTTTCTCAGCTCTTGTTTAATATTGCCTACCTCAAAATCTCTCTTCTTAGTATGAATTCTGTCTAGAAACTCTGTGTGGAGTTGACTAACAGCATTTGTGTTCAGTTAAATGTGTAAGAAGTCGGTTGGTAGACTACAGACTTTCACATGTTAGAAAGAGAGAGTTTTCATTTTGAGTTACTAAGCTAAAAAGTTTAATTCAAATGTTCTACTCAGTTCGGGGAGGAGGATGAAAGTATAACTTCTCACTTCCATTCTGCAGGAGTTACAAGACATTTCTTCTCATCGATACTCCTGCCCCCTTATAATTATGTTTGGCTTGTGGTCCTTTTTTGGTCATTTCATCTATCTGTAAGCTTTTGTCCATCTTCTATTTTCCAGAAATGTTGTGAAGTTTTTCTGTCCATTATAATTACTCCTCCTGTTCTCGTGGCTCTTCTTTTTGTACATTCATTTCAGAGGGGATATTAGTCAGCAAGGGGTGATTTAAACCACAGAAATTTATTTTCTCACAGTTCTGGAAGCTATAAGTCTGAGAACAAAGTGCTACAGGGTTGGTTTTTGGTGAGGTCTCCCTCTTTGGATTGTAGACAGTCACCTTCCCATCATGTTCTCATGTGGCCTTTCCTTTGTGTACATGTGCTCTTTGTGTCTCTTCCTTTTCTTATAAGGACACCAATCTCATTGTGTTAAGCTCCTGCCCTCATGACCTCATTTAAACTTAATTGCCTCCTTTAAGCCTTATCTCTAAATATAGTCATCTTGAGAATTAAGGCTTCAATGATTTTTGAGTGTACCTTTGTACCGGGCCCTGTGCTAAATGTTTGTATTAGCCAGAGTTCTCCAGGAAACCATTTTGTTGTTGTTTTGCTCTTTCTAAATAGCAAAACATTACTAAAATGTTGGCTCTCCTTTTTGTATATTTGTTTCAGAGGTGATATTAGTCAGCGAGGGGTGACGTAGACAACAGAAATGTATTTTCTCACAGCTCTGGAGGCTGTAAGTCCAAGAACAAGATGCTGCAGGACCTTCAGTCCACAATAATGAAGTATCTCAAGGAGTCTGCCCACTGCAACTGAACAAAAAGGCAATCAAACCCTTTGTTTAAGAATACTGTGTTGTAATCCTGAATTGTTCTGATGCCTGGAACTCCTTGGATAACTGCTAGAATCCTTGGAAGAGTAGGACTATTTAAAAAGAACAAAACAACAACAAAAACCACATGAGCAGCAAAAAAATGTATAACTGGCAGAGATGCTGTTTTGCTTCAACTTGGGACATAAAAGCAGAAGAGGAAAATGACCAGATCAAAGAGAACAAAGGCATGTGGCCTCCCTGGGAGATAGTGGGGGCAGCAGGGTGGGCAAGAGCAGCTCAAAGATTTTCTGGGTGTAGGAAGTGGGAGTCAGGAGCCAGCAGCTGGAAAAGGCAGCAGGTGCAGAAAAATCTTGATATTTTCTATGAGCTAGAAGAAGGGATTTGGAAGTGCTGCATTCCAGGGAGCCAGCTGGTGGAGCCAAGTCATACATTACTGTTCTCTTGTGTCTGAGGATGACCCTTTGTGGCTCTTGGCTGGTAGCCTGAGAAACACCTGTTGTAGTTATTGGGGCCCGGGGGCTTGTTTGGCCTGCTTAAACTTAGAGACTAGATAGTTATCATCAGTAAAAATAAACTTATCTTGGCCAATGGAAGACTCCATTAGCTGGCATCCTTTAGTAAAACTCATTTTCCTCCACAAAAAAGTCTGCTGTTCAGGTACATATTCCAAATCATGCCTCCAGTATGAAATAATGTCTTTTAAAGCAAGAAACAAATTAAAGAAAACACATTAAGGAGATAAGATGCTCAGGACTACAAAAATAGCTGACTGTTTTCACTTATTTCCTAGCAACACTCTTTTTTTTTTCCATTTCAAGCTTAGTGTTCATGAGCAGCTTCAAATTATGATGTTTTCTTTCTTATATAAATGTACTAATTCACAACCCAAATTTGTCTTTCATCGATCATAGTTGGGTATTGCTAGTATCCAAGAATGCTTTTCAAGGGGATCAGGTTTTAGTTCTTATGGCTTAAAATCATAGCTAATTTTGTATTAAAAGTATAGAGAGAAACAAAGAAGACTATCCAAATTATTTTAATAAATTGGAATTTTGTTATATATATTTCTTAAAATATTTGTGTAATCTCTTAGAATTTTCAAATAGGCTTATTTTTTACAGAGATTAGTAAATATAATGGTGTTTTGGGTATTTATCTTCACAAAGAATTTTCAAATAGGCTTATTTTTTACAGGGATTAGTAAATATAATGGTATTTTGGGTATTTTATATAGATGTTCTTACTTAGTTCTGCCTTTACAAATCATCTGTGGCACTTTAATAAAATCAGAATATATAATTTTTCTATTTGGGGTGCATATTCTAACTCTTCAGTGATATTATTAGTTCTTTGAGGGAATAGTTTATGCCAATTGAGCTTGGAACTCAACAATCAACGTTTGTTAAGGACCCACTATATGCTAGATTGTGTGCTTGGTATTTGGGGCACAATGACACATCAATTGTAGTTTGCAACAGCCATGCACAGCCTGAGTAGAAAGACAAACATAAAGAAAGATAATTTCAATATAATGCAAATTCCAAGATGGATGCAAAGGTTGGCAGTTCTCAAATCTTTGGGTCTCAGGACCTTTTTACATTCTTAAAAATTACTGAGAACTCCACAGAGCTTTTTTTTTTATATGAGTTATGTTTATCAATCAATTAGAAATGAAAACTGAGAAATTAAAATATATTTATTGATTAATTAAAAATAATAAACCCATTGTCCATGAATATAAGAAACATATTTTATGAAAAATAACTACATTTTCCAAAACAAAAAGACTAATGGTAAGAAGAGCATCATTTTATATTTTTGGAAATCTCTTTATTATTTAGATTAATAAAATACAGTTTAAGATTTAGATTAATTAAAAAAAAACAGTTGAATTCCCATATCTATGTCTGCATTCAATCCATTGCAATTGTTTAAGTAAATGAAGAAATTCTAGCTTCATGCCAAGAGAAGATTGGAAAATGAGAAATATTTTAATAGACATTTCAGATAATTGCACATATTCTTATTTGATAATACATCAAAATTCAACAGTAGTAGTTTCCTTCATGTCTTTTCTTTTTTATAGTTACTTTTTGTGTGCTTGTGTGTGTGTGTGTGTGTGTGTGTGTGTGTGTGTGGGTGAGTGGGTGGTTAAAACACTTAAGATCTCTTTCAGCAAATTTTAAGTATGCAAAACTTAAAATTATTAAATATTATTATAACAATTATTAAATATAATCATGGTACGCATTAGGACTCCAGAACTTTCTCATCTTATAACTGAAAGTTTGTACTCTTTGACCAACATCTCCCTGTTTTAAGATTCCACATATAAATGAGAACATCTAGTATGTATCTTTTTTCATTACATAGTATGTATGGCTTATTTCATTCAGCATAATGTCCTCCAGGTTCATCCATGCTGGCAAATGACAGAATTTTCTTCTTATTAAAGGCTGCATAGTATTCCATTATTTTTCTATACCACATTTTCTTTGTCTATTCATTGATTGATGGACACTTAGGTTGATTCCATATCTTGGCTATTTTGAATTATACTGCAACGAACAAGGGAGTGCAGATATCTCAATATACTGATTTCCTTTTGACAAATAATTACAAGTGGGATTGCTGGATCATATGGTAGCTCTACTTTTAATTTTCTGAGGAATCTTCCATATGTTTTTCATAATGGCTATTCTAATTTACATTCTCACCAACACTGTAAGGGTTCCCCATTGTCCACATTCTTTTTAACACTTGCCAGCTTAACAGATGTGAGGTGATATCTTACTGTGGCTTTGACTTGCATTTCCTTGACGATTAGTGATACGAGCACTTTTCCATATATCTGTTGTTGGCTATTTGTAGGACTTCTCTGGGAAAACATCTATTCAGGTCTTTTGCCAATTTTCTAATTAGGTTAATTCTTTTTTATTTTTTTCTATTTCGTTGTACAACAAGTAGTAGTTTATCAAAGGTTACTTACAATATAAAATCTAGAACTGTATTAGTGAACTTTCTATGCTGTTTTGCAATGAACTGTTGATCTAGTTTGCATTTTGAATTGCTCTTTTTTCCATGTAAGATTTTATGACACAGTTTTTTGAAAATACAGTTTCACTGAATTATGCAGAATTTTCAAATATTGACATACTGTTTTACACAATATTTTTGAAAACCACATTCATTAATCTTATCATTGCTGTAATCTAATCACAGATTAGAATTATCTTTAAATTCATTGTGGCAGATACATGTCTACCAAAATTCTAGCTTTCCCTTGAAAGCTCAAATTTTATTATTGGCAACAAATCCTGCCAATAGTTTTTTTTGAAGTGAGAGTTTTCCTTGAAATGTCTGCCAAGTACCCAAGTCTGAATAACCATAGTGTGTCTGTCAATTATTCTTTCAAGTAAAAACGATGTTCCATGAGAAAAAAAACAACTAGTTCTGTTGTAACTCAGACATCTTGCCCATCTTTAAGACAATATCCAACTTCAGTATGCAGCAGGAATGTTTTATATTGTATCCCATTTAGTTACTCAGAATATTAAAGGATGTATACTTGAGGGCTAAAATTTAATAAAATTAATATTTTTCATTGTGGGTACATGATGGTGATGGTAGTGACTACTGGTTCATTTTGGTGCCACTGCCTTGACTCATGCTGGGCACCAGCAGTTCCACCCACTGTTGCTTCGAATCATGAGAGCAAATGTCCACATAGTGAAAAAGGCAAATGTTGTGTTAACATTTGTATGAAAATAGTTTTCTCCTTGTGGACCCCATAAAACTATCTGGGAGACTTTGAGAACTGCTGGTCTAGAAAAACAAAGGAGAGGCACTTAGTGGGGCCTGGCTGAAGAAAGGATGAGGGGGTGGGAGGAGAGGGCTGAGAGACTGGCTGGTGGACCCATGGCTCTCCAGGAGAACCGAGAGGCTGAGGAGGGATTATTCAGTGGAAGAAGGTCAAGAACGGTACGTCAAGGTGGATTGCTTTTTATATCATTATATAATAAAATTTCACAAATGGAACGGCTTAAAACACCTATTTACTGCCCTCACAGTTGGATAGGCCTTAAGTCCAGGCATGACATACCTAGCTTCTCTGCTTAGGGTCTCACAAAGCTGAAATTAAGGTGTCAACTTGGCCTTGTTCTCAGTTGAGGCTTGGGATCCTCTTCCAAGCTCATGTGGTTGTTGGCAGAATATAATATGAGGTGGTTATAGGACTAAGTTCCCTCTTTTCTGGCTAGCTGTCAGCCAGGAGCTGTTCTCAGCTGCTAGAAACTGCCTGTGATCTTCAGCTATGTGGCTGTTTCCAAAACATGGCAGTTTGTTTCTTTAAAATAAGAAGGTGAATTCCTTTCCTTACAATCTCCCCCTCTAGAAAGGGTACAATCAGGCCAGGTGTGGTGGCTCACGCCTGTAATCCCAGCACTTTGGGAGGCTAAGATGGGCGGATCAGGAGGTCAGCAGATTGAGACCATCCTGGTCAATATGGTGAAACCCCATCTCTACTAAAAATGCAAAAAATTAGCTGGGCACAGTGGCACGTGCCTGTAATCCCAGCTATTCGGGAGGCTGAGGCAGGATAACTGCTTGAACCTGAGGGGGAGGCTGCAGTGAGCCAAGATCATACCACTGCACTCCAGCCTGGGTAACAGAGTGAGACTCTGTCTCAATTTAAAAAAAAAAAAAAGAAGGAAAAAAGGGCATAATCCCTTTTCAGATGTCACATGGTTAGTCAGATCCACCCATGATAACCTATTTTTCAGGAAAATCAAAGTCAGCTTATTTGGGATCGTCACCTTTTTCATGTAATGAAGTCTAATAATGGAGTGAAATTCATCGTATTTACAACCCCTCCCATGTTGAAGGGAATGACAGTATACGGGCTGTATAACTTGGGGCGAGAATCTTGCAGGAGCCTCTCTAAATTCTACCACCGAAGGACACAGGACAGTTCAGGCAGAGCTAGAAACTGGGAGGAAATCCAAGCCTAATTGGGGGGTATGGATGGAGTTGGGAGGAAATAGAACAGAAAAGGGAGAGGAAAATTACCCACTTTGAAATTGTCCTGCTGGCTGTTCCCTGAGTTGCCACACCAGACCGCCCCCCAAACCAATCCTCCACTTCCCCCACTGGTGCTGGCGAGCACCCTAAGGATGGCTCTGAGGAGAGGTAAGATGTTTTTCAAATTTCACGGGGGAACTTTCTGGAACTGTTTCAAAAGAAAGCCTCAGCTGTCATGGAAAACCTAATTTGGGAAAGAGAAAGGTCTTCCCGACCTCTGGCAACAAACTAGGATTGAACGCACACACTCCGTCTGTGGGAGGATCTTCAGCTTCTTCCCGCAGTGGCTCTGTCTCTGCTCAAGAGTGTGAGGATCTGCGCCCGCCCACTCTCCAGCCTCCCCAGCCCCGCTTGATCTTCCCACACGGCTCCCAGAAGCCTGCCCGTCAAGATGTTGCTTTTTATCAAGTCACTCATCTGCCCAGAAGTCTGGGAAGCCTCCTGAAAGTCTCTCGGGTCAAACCAAAATTTCTGATGGTGGATTCTGAGGCCTCGGATCAGACGAGCCCTTCTTTCCTAGCCCATCTTCCTCGTTTTTTCAGGCACTGTTTTGTTGATCACAAAGTACCACGTGGGACTGTTGTGTTAACAACAAAAAAAGTTTCAAAAGTTATCTCTTCTCTGTGAAATCATAGCCCTCTTCTTCAAAACACTTCTGTGTCATATTTTCGATGGACTTTCCACAATAGTTCAATTCAGCACAAGTTATTTGTAGACATTAGAAAGGAATGCAGGGAGCAAGCAAGAAACAACTGACTGAAAAAACACAGCAAGGCAATTAAAAAAGTGACTTTTTTGGAATGTCCTCTGACCTTGATCATAAATATAAATGGAGCCATATCCACATGCTCCTCCATTTTAGGTTGAATTATTTTCTCTCTACCTCTCCAATATCTTATTTTCTTCCTCCTTCCCTCGTTCTTCCCTCCCTTCTTTCGCTTCAACATGCATGAATGGTGCTTGGCATTGGGGCAACAGAGATGTGTATAACAGAGTCTCTCCCAATAAGAAGGATAATTTCCAGTGGGGAAGACACAAAGAAATGTCACAATTCAGTGTGATGCGGTGGAGCAAGTGGCTCCTTCTTCCTTAAGGGTGCTGTGGTCAGCAAAGGCTCCAAAGGGGATTCAGCTTTTCAGCTGTGCCTGGAAGAATGAGTATTTTCCAGGTGGACTAGTGGAAAGGTTTTCCCGGAAAGAAAATCATATGTATAGAGCATGGAACTTTGCAGCAGTGACAGGTAATTATCCATTCAACTCTAACTAGTTGTATCTAGTTACCTACATAGTCATTTGTGTATCACTAGATTCTAGAAAGGATTTAAGGTCATTTATAAAATATGTGCACTATAAAAAGATAAACCAAAATGAAAAAATAAGTGAGTTAGAAATCAAGACAGAGAAAAATTAAGGATAGGAAAAATAAGATGATGGCAGGACTGAATTTGTATACAAAGCACATGCTGTACGATTCTGTCTTTGCCAGAGGAAGGCCATAAATTTGGATCTAAGCCTTTTGGTGTCAGCCCAGAAAGAGAGATGCAATCAGTAACATTCAGTGTCCACATGATCTGATGAGCCCAGTTGTTCACGAGCAGCACAACTATTCCTGTGAAGACAGCAAAGAGTAATTTCTCCCATGGGCCTGTACAGAAAGGACATTCAGTCATTCTGTGAGCGATGCCCTCAGCAGCATCCTTAGAGAAATGCAGGGTGGAGGGGTCATAAAAAACGATTTCTATAATGCCTTCAATGTAGGCCGATGACATGTATCCAAGGTACCAGTGAGTAAAAGTATTTCCATGCTTCTCAAGGTTAAACTTCTGTCAAACCTTTTTACTGTTTTTGTTGTTATTTTTTAACCCAAGTAAGGAGTTGAGTAACATGTACTTTAACATTTTTTC